ATATTTATTTAAAAGTCAAATATGTATTTATATGTAAAATAAAACTTTGTTAAAATGACCCTTATTATGTAATTGGTTTGCCCCCAAAGTCCCAAACATATATAGCTAACCGTTAAAAACATTTAAAAACATATTCTGATCAGCTTTATTTATGATAAGTAAAAATAATAAATAAAAATATTAATATTAACTAATTAATATATGTTAATTAAGATTAAACGGTTAATTAAGTTGCAATTTTATATTAATCAATAGATTATGTATTATATGTATAAATACAATGTATTATAAATAGTACAATATTAAAAATAAACATAATTGCGAAAACCATTAATTAAGTTTTATTTTATGATTCTTTTATTTGTATTTTTAACCACAATTCTGTATAGAATAATGTTGTTTATAGAATCGTTAGACTCGACCATACATTTATTATTGAAAGCTATTGTAAAAACATCAAAACTATAAATTAAATTGTGAAATTAATATGACAAAAGCATTTATAAAAATCACAGCTTATCCCATTAAGATGAATTTTTGCATTGATTGTTACGGTACTCCTTAATGCCAATAAAACACTATTTTGACATTTTATTAACTATAATTTGATACTTAATATCCTTTTATGCAATTAATTCATTATTTATTTAATAATAAAATTATTTGCTAAACTATTGTTTAATACTTATTTGTCACATACATTTTAACATAAGCTGCAAATACATTGGAATACAAATAAATAATTTATTCACAACTAAACATAACAATTATAAATGTTTATATTTTTTAAACTAAATCTCTGATACAAACCACAAATTTAAAAATAAATATCAAAATTTAAGTAAAAATACTATTTTAATTACAAACTCAATACTGAATTAAAATACATTATAAAAGATGACAATTATATAACCATTTAAGCCAATAATTAATTCATATTTATTGTGCAAAAATTGTGGTCAAATAATTGAAATGATAAAGAATTTGTATAAAACTTGTGAATAAGTATTGAAAACCCGATCGTATCCTATGCCACACATAAGTCATATCATTAAATTGACACCAAATATGTAATAGTGTTTAAAAAATGAGAAAAAGTGATGATATGCTGATTACTGCTAATTCTTGTCCAGTCATATAATTGTATTTCACAACAATCTTATAGTCAAAGAATCCGATTCTTAGGCACTGATAATAACTGCGCGATTGATTCAATAGATGGCAAACGAGTGTATGATTTGTATTGAAAGCAAACATCAAATGCAATGTTTTCATCGAAAAGTGATTTTGAAATACATGTAATGTATGACTGAATGTATGCCTGAAACCAGTGTTTCATAAATACAACCAATAATGAGTTGGAAGTCATTTATTAATCGTCAAAATCGGTTCAACAAGTGTTTCGTAAATCGGTTTTAAATGCAATTATGAATTAATAGCAAAGTTTGTGACAAATTTAGTGCCAAAATCACAGCACAATATATTTGAGCCAATCTTTTCATACCTAGAGTTTTGTTATCAGTTTTTGTGGTCAAAGACTTTGAATGAGTGACTCTTTTGTGTGTCAATAGTCTGTGAACTGAATCCAAATCCTGACCTCAATATTGTCCACACGTTTCCCAATACAAGACACACAACAAGACATCACTTTCAGACACCACTCAACATATATTGAACTCATATTTTCATTTTCATATACAATACCTGTATTTCACTCTCAAATACATAACAATTTAACCACAATTTGTTTATTATTGAAAATATTTGTATCGATATTTTGGTCATAATTATCGTTAAAACGGAAGTAATATTTAAGTAATATTTTTTTCGTATAGCAGTTAAATGTAAGTAAATTTTGTTTGTTTTTGTTTGCGATGAAAATGAATGTAATTTTTTGGCTAATAATGAGTTTGAATTTGATTTTTTCCAGTATTGTCTGTCAAGTGATGTCAGAATTGGCACCAAATGTCTGTCAGGTCTGGTCTCACCATTTATTTGTCTATTTTTAAATTTTTAAAACAATTTAAACATTGGTTTTTAAATAGTCTCTCAAACGGCAAGTGTTTTCAATACAGACATTCATTTATTATAATTTAATTATTGACTAAATATTTGTGGTTTTGTTGTTTCAAAGATAACATTCACTAATGAATTAACTATTTATAGCCTTTTATCATATTATATAAAAATTAGTGTTTAATTAAAGCGATAAATATGTGACAATAATATTGGATGTCATGAATGGGTTGTCATTATATAATTGTCGAGAGCTTTAAGCGAAAGTCAATGAATTAATTGAATGGATGTATTGTATTGTGTATTGAATGTGTGGTTGAATGTGATGTGAATATCGCGCACACACTGTCTGTCAGTCCTCTCATAGGATCCCAAAATACATGAATGGTTTGCCCACAAGAATGAGCAGAAGTCACATCCCATTCAATTGATCGGATGCTCTAATTTTGCCCAATTTTTATATACCTTTAAACGTCTGTGCGATTTGTTGGCCATTGCGTACCACTACCTCTCACTTCCCTCTCCCTCCCAACGACTTTCTCTCACTTTAATTGATTTTCACTACTATTTTGCCACTAAATGATCGTTGAATTGATATTAATTTAAAAATTTTATTTAATAAATTTATTGGAAATATTGTAATCGATATTTGCTTTCCAATCCAAAACCATCTGTTATTGAACTTAACCTTCAAACCTAGTGATCAGTCAATTGCTATCATCTCTCTCTTTCCCAAAATCCATTGTTTTGTCGGTTTGTTTTGCGAAAACATATCATATATTCTGCTCCCAAATGCTGTTCACAGACAGGAGTTCCGCTTCTAATAACTTAAGTCTTATGACTGTCTTCTCTCGCCCTCCAAAACCGCAATTAACGGTACTTTTGATTCAATTGTTTTCTATGGCCACTAATTTTGTGACAAAAATGAATGTCTGTTTAAATTGTTGAAAACAACAAAATCGATACATCAATAAAATAAATAAATAATTGATTTTATTGTGTGGTTTAGGAATGCGGCTGTCGTTGCGAGAGTTGCGTTAACAATAATAGCATTCATTTGCACCGAGAGATCGAACATCTGAAGCGTCAATTGGCTGAACGCGAGTACCATATCATGTCAATGGAGAGTCAGATTATGCTTCACGCGAGAAGATTCCCGAACGGAGAGATGAATGCAATGCAAGACAGTCTCCACTTCTGGCAGGAAAAGTACGAAAGGTATGTCACTTCCGCTTCAGGTTTTGGTTTCGTTTCAATTCACATTCAGTTTGCGTTAATTTTGTTTGTTTTTTCTTTCTGACGAATAGATTACTCGAAGGCCACAGAAAACTACAGAAAGTGAATCAAGGATTAGAAGACAAACTGTTGAGAATTGCGGACAAATACCAAAACGAGAAGTCGGCGCTCACTCAGGATGTCTCAGAACTGACCAATAGGTTAGTGGACGCGAGGGTATCGATGGCTGAGTTGGAGGAAGAGAGCGATCAATACAAGAATGACTGTAATATTGCCGTTCAGTTATTGCAATGCAAACCATCCAACTTTGTTGCCCATAAGTTTAATACAGTATGCCTTTTGACAATTATTGCTGGCATTAGATGTGTAATTAAATGCAATGATTATTATTTATAGCTTCCAATAGACCTTCAGGAGAGGGTTAAGCTTCAGATGAACCACAGGAGAACCCGAAGCAGTCCATGCAATACCTCACTCGATATGCCAAACAACACGAATCCGAGTAACGGCGCCCGTGTTATACGAGTGCCAATACCCACATTCCCGCCGACAGCTATGGTCTACTCAATCAATAAAATAAATGAAGAGACGCTTCCAGTGAACAACGGTTCCAACGCTCAATCAAACGAATCAATCGATTACGTGTCCGCAGCCATTATGGCCAAAGTGTTTGAGGAGAGGGATAAAGAGAGGAGGTATAGAAACCGTCAAATGTATTTGTTTGACACTTATAATAGTGTATTATTGCGTTTAGATATCGAAAGTACCAGAAGTGCCATCAGTGCCGCAACAGAAGGGCATACGTTCAGTACATCGACGACGAGACGCAGACCAATAATGGAGTTCTCAATAATGAAGACTATCACTACTCGAATCCCATATTCAATAGGCAAAGATCCGAGTCTTCCTCGAGTATGGAATCTATAAATAACGGCAACGGATCTAATGTTTCCAAGAATTGCAACGAAACCATAATTATATGAATAGTATTAGTAGTTATAAAATAATTGTTTTGTTTTTTATAATTTTCATTACATTTTGTTTAAAGTCTTAAGAGTTTAAAATCACAAATTAGTTAAAATCGTTATCGAAATACTCATAAACCAGTCATTGATAAAGTTTTGTTACCGAGTTTTTTAGTGAATGTATTTAATATTTATTTAAAGCAATAATTTTCATATACACAGAAAGTTTTTGTCTTATTTTTTAATTCAAAGAAATACTAAAACGATAATCAAAGTAATGAACACTTTGTTGTAATGACTCGCTGTAAAAGTCCGTCAAACGAAATGCATAATTGGATTGAATCACAAAAAGAGTGTTATTTTAGTCAATATATAAATAAGTTAATTGTAGTTAATTTACTTTTACAATCAATTTATGTTTGAATATAATTACGATATCAAATAACGTAGCGCTAGGCAACTGACCAACCTTAGCGTTAGATGTGATTACATATACAGTACCTTGATTGCTATGTTAACATCTCTAGCGTCTTGGTTGGTCCCGCGCCTAACCTCAAAATAATGGATAATATTCTTAACACATAATTGCATTTAAAGACAACACATATTTCTCATCAGTAATTGACTTAAAAATTGACTCTTATATGGATTCATAACTTAATTGTAAATAACATAGTATTGGTTGTAATTATTAATAAAATGCAAATTTAGTTATTATTTAAACAATATTTATTCATTCGTAAAACATATAAAATCTTAAGTAATTTTAAAATAAGACATAATTTATAAAACATTATATAAATTATTTATAATTATATTAAATTTACATTTATATTAGGGTTATATAAAGCAGAGTAATTTGGTTATTGCCATAATTAGTGGAAGTGTTGGAAGTGTCTGTATTCAGTCGATGGGATACAAAGATTTGAAAGCGGTGTTAATCTCAGCGATCAAATCGGTTGTTGTGGTGCTTCGGCTCCACTTCGCGAACGCCAATCGAGCGCACCGTCGGGTCAGCATTGCTGCGCCCAAAGCCGCCACAAGTGTTGGACTCAACTTCTGTCGACTCAAATCAGTGGAAGAGCTCTGAGCGGCGAATGCCTTATGACTCCAGTAGGAGAAGACACCCATAGAGCCCGATAGCAGGTCTCCCTGTCCTCCGCACCGACGAGGACTACCCCTCTCACTGCACGTCACGATATTGTGTCCGTCACTAATGGTGTCTTCGGCTCCTTTGCGGATAATCGTAATGTCGCCCAAAGTGTGGCACAACTGCATGAGTGCTGCGTTCGGGTCTTCGCTTTTGTTGGGTTCCGAGCGATAGACCGAAGCGTATAAGCGGTCAAATTCGGCCACATTTGGGGTCAAAATGGCTTTAGTATATCCGCGAACTATTTCCGGACATTTGGACACAAAATACAGAGCGTCCGCATCCAAGACCAGAGGAATGTCCATCTCTTTGATTTTGTCGATAACGGCGCCGACATTAGCCAGAGTTCGGTCATTGCGTCCGAGTCCGGGACCGATCACTACGGCGTGAAGTTTGGGCAAAACAGCGGCGATCTCTTCCACCGCGTTATCGGAGTCCAGATTCGGGTAAACAATGAGTTCCGGAGAATAAGACTTAATAATAGGCGCCGACTCTCGCGAGCAAAACACGTACGACAGGTCAGCGCCGGCCTTAAGCGCCGAAATGGCGGCGAAATACGGGGCACCCGTGTATTCAACTGATCCACCGATCACTCCGATCCGTCCCGACTGTCCCTTATATAAGTCGGCACTCAATCCGGGAATTATTGAACACACGATCTGCTGATCGGCGCTAAACTCGTCCACACTTTTGGCCATCACTTCCTCCTCAGTGGTTGTCGTCGTCTCCGTGTGTTTCGTCTGATCCGCGCTGTCTTTGTCGGACATTGTCTTCGGCGGACACAACAGTCGTGGAAAGTGAGTGACAATTGAATGGCTGTTAAGTGAGTCTCAAATCAGATGTTTGTGTCGTTTGTTATCAGTTGTGATGAGAGATGGCCTCAAAAGAGCACTCATTCACTCAATGCATGCATTCATTCAGACATTCATTCAAATGATCGCAAATTGCAATCAAATTAGACTCAAATCTATCGTCATTTCAATTCAATGATACAATATTTGGGCTAAAAGTGAGTTTCATTTCAATGATTAGTGCAAATAAAGTGCAAAATTAGTTGATTTGATGGCTTTTAAAGTACATTATATAATATTTCTTTAATATTTAGTTCATATTCTTTATACAACTTTATATTCATTTTATGATAACTTTTATACAAAATTCAATTTCTGTTCAAATTAATAGTTATTGTTATTTACATGTATTTTAGACACGATTTCTAACACAATAATTGATAGATTTATATAATATTTCATTTTAAACGAAACATAGGCTTAAGATTTATTTTCTCGAGAGAAATATTTTAACTTTTTCTTTATTGGAGACAAATTCTGGCAAAAATGTATATTTCATATATAATCCAAACATTATTTTTGTGCCAAAAAATTCTTCATATAATATCATAACTTATACCTCGTATAAGAAGTGCAATGAATCACAAAACTATGTATTAACTGAAAAAAATGTATCTAAAAATAAGTCATTAAGTAATGAAAATGAGAAAAGTTTTGGCAAAATATTTTCAAGAGTTTATTGGTTCACATATTTTTGTTTTTTTTCTGGAGAAAAGTCTATATAATTTGCAAATACGAGTAGAAATGGATCTCGTATTTCAAAATATTAAGTTATTTGTTAAATAATATTTATCTGTTTTTGTGAGACATATTTGCAAAGAATAAAAACTAACGGATCCCAACATTTTCGCTCAATTCTTGACAAAAATACATAATTTATTCAATACTTTATTTTGTTCGCAAAAACTTAAAGCCAACACAACGTTAAGATTTGCAATAAATATAATATAAAAACAGATTTATTCAGTTAAGAGTGGCTTTAAATACGCGGACAAAAAATGTATTAATGTTTTGCAATACATACTGTAATACTTGTGCTGATCTGTGCGCTGAAGTTGACCTCACGTTCATAGGCTTACCTCTCATTGATATGTCAGATGTTAGCAAATTTGTCAGCCGTTGGGATCAGTCGACAGATTAGACATTTGACACAAAGTTTCGCTTCCAATACAATACTCGGAGTGTATATTATATGAGGGAATCAATTGATCCTCATTTGCCTCACATGTCAGTAACGGTAAGATTTAGTCAATTGATTGAATAGTTCTTCTTTTGCAACACAACAACAACTTTTGACAGAAAGATTGTGCTAATTGACTGACGACAACATACCAGTGCCTACAGCTATACCTACAATACTCATCCCATACTCATCCCGGGGTAGACATCAACTACCCCTCCAAACCCTAAGTATAAGGCTTATGGAAATATGACCAAAAACTATATGTATGTTTGCGTTGTGTTTGGCATCGATTATAACGAAAGTGAACTGTATTTGCAATAATACTGACAGTTGTTTAGTCTTTAAGTAGATTTAAATAAAGATATTTACGTTCAATATTAAGCAGATATAGCGCTCATAATATTAGAGTTCGGGTTTGTTTTGAGACAAAACAAGAATATAAACGTATTTTAAAGTATTTTGTCAGTTATTCTGATTATATAAATATGTTATACAAAAGCCATAGATATTTTCAATTGTATTTAATTCCTATTCGCATAAGAGATGAACAAAAATATGCCGAAGTGTTCAGACGATTGAACGGCTTATTTGAAGTCAAAGAGAGATCACATTCTTATGTCTTATGTCGTGCAGAGAAGTGAATATTTATGCCTTCAGAAGAGGCTTTTTTGCAACAAAACTGGTCGCCGCTTACAAGTGATTGCTTTACTTGTTGTTAAGGTTAACGATTTGCCGTTCAAATCAAGTGCCAAAAGTTATTCATCTAAACCTAATTGTCTTCTAGTGTCAAACAGACAGCAGGAATACACAGCATCCCATCCCTTGCCATAACACTATCACACTATACAGTACTATACCATAACATAACACACACTAAACCATCCCATCTGATGAATATTCACATCTTATTTTAGTAGCAAAACATCAAATGAATCGATTATATGATAAAACATTTCTCAGTAGAGAAGTTGACACTTGCCTAATGGATGGATAATATTATAACATTATTTCAATTATTTATTTATTTTAATGTGTTTTACCACGGGGGAAAATTTATTCGTTTTATTATATAAAATATTTATATTTTGTTTATACGGATAACCATTTTTAGTATCAAAACTTTTGATAACATATTAAGTGTTTTATCATTTTCTCACTCCATTTAAGCGCTCTATCCTTCGAAATATTTCTTTTTTATTTGAAAATTAAACTCTTTTTCTGTAAAATTATGTGAATTTTGTTTAAAAATTTTGAATTATATTATAAATAAATGGATATAAAAACAAGAAAATACTTGAAAATATCTCAAGGATTGGGATTATAGGGGAAAAGTTTGGTAAACGAAAAGTCCGTGTAATATACTGTATGTGTTCTCCGATATATGTGTTTAAATGATTTTAAGTTACAATTAAAGAGTTTATGTTAAGAAAACTGAATAAATATACAAACAATTTCTCTCTTTCTTTCTTCTCCAACCATTTATAACCCCAAACGCTAACATTCAATGGGCTATTGATTAGTGAATTGTTTGGCTAATGAATTGCTTGTTTAGAATAAATATTATCTAATTTTCTTGTTTATTAAATGAAAATAATTTGTTTGATTTGATTGACTGCAAAGGAATGCGTCAATAAATTGCCAAAAGAAATGTTGTTTTAAAAACACATTTACTTTTCGCCAAACAACTGACGGATAACAAAAATGTGGCCAAAAGTTTTCATTTGTTATCAATTGTTTACTAATGTTTGTTATGCAGGGATAGTGTGTTTGACATCAAATCAGACATAGAGTTCATAAATTCATTCATTATTTTTTTTAATATTTAATAAAATGTAAAACAATTGAAACAAGAATTTTTCAAATGTGAGATAAAATACTTACTTTGCGGGGCTTTACTACTCGGTTGGGTTTCTCATCAATATTTTATGACAGCAGCCAAAGACCGCCAAAGAATGATATCTCACTTTTTAGTCGTAAAACAAAAATTAAATTTTACAAAAGTATTTAACTGAAAATATTAGTGTAATTGAGTGCAACTGTATTATTGATTATACTTTAGGTGAGAAAATAAAGCGTTTTGATATATACTATACCAGTCCTCTCATGAAAGAGAGAGAGAGAGAGAGAGAGAGAGAGAGAAGGAGAGACTCTAATATAGTAAAGATACAATTCGACAGCATTAAGGTAGAGTACGATTTGTGCTCTACTCTTAACTAAGTCAGTAATGGCAAAGGGGAAAGAAATGCACATGGTTATAGTTGGTGTACCTTCTAAACAAGCAATTCATTAGCCAAACAATTCACTAATCAATAGCCCATTGAATGTTAGCGTTTGGGGTTATAAATGGTTGGAGAAGAAAGAGAGAGAGAGAGAGAGAGAGAGAGAGAGAGCATAGAGAGCGAAGAATTTAATTAATATCTTAAGAGCGAAAAGTCATTATTCATTAGAGTTTTCTTTTGATTCAATAGAATCCCAGTATTTAAAGACGGATCCATTAATTTGAATAGACGTTTAACAGTATAACATATAACCAGTCAATATATCAATTGCACACCTGTGCAGACCTGTGCACAACCAAACATACATTGCTTTTCGTAATTTACACTCAATATTATTGCCACACCAAACGATTATTGAGGCCGAGACCCACAAACTTACCACAAAACAGACCACCCATTGGACAGAAAAAAGATGTTTGCAGTGAATAAAAATATATTACATCTCAGCAACAGTCCAACTATCCAACAGCCCTATGAGAAAAACAGCCCCAATATTATACCCTGTATAGTTTCCAAACTCTCTCCTCTGCTTTTTGTTGGCAATAGTTTGGAGACTTTTGAGACACTTATTGTAAAGTTATGCATATTCTGAACACAACTTTCGCTCCACGACTGTATCACTGATTTCATACAAAAACCAAAGGCAACACAAGTTGTGTATCAATAATAAACAGATTGCAAATAAAGAGCAGAGAGAAAATGTTTGTTTAAACTAAAATCAACTGAAGAGAGAGAATAAAAGATTAATTTTGTTCGTTATTTTCAATGTTGTGTATGAAAACAAGATGTGATGCACTATAGAGTGTCTATGAGATGCACTGATAGAGAAAAGAGTGTGTTGTGTGTTATTTAAACGCTTCACAAATACTGTCATCTAAATTATGGAACTAATGAGTCTTTTACGAGACATTGAATGCCACAAAAAACCACACAATTTCTTAGTAATTATGTTTTTGCGTACACTTCTGCACACATCTGCCCCCCAATAAACTAATCGCTCACTAAACGACTCCTACTGTCCTCAACACCACATTTACATTACATTAGTTGTAATCCTTATATATTTATTACGGAATCAAATGAAGACAGAATTGCAGGAAATTGAGATTTGTTTGCCAACGCATGCCTTACGGTATGTGTGCCCATACCATACCGTACCCTCACCCATGCCATACCAAAACCCTGCCACATATCCTACCCCTCTGTTACCCAACTATAGCTCTCATTTGTCTACTAATTGTGAGCTTTGCTTAATTTATGTGAATCACCAAAATTGAAGTGAAAACAGAGCTTTTAAACTAATTCTCACTTTACGTCTCAAAACTCTTATAAAAACAATTTGTGCAAAAGATATACAGAAGTCTCTTAAGAGTCGATTCCAAAGGATTAGCATATCTTACAAATGTCTGTACTTTTTTGAGACAATTTGTTGTTTAGAGCAGGAAATTGCCATT